CACTACACATGTTCCGCAACAGATCAGGGGAGCCAACCTTCTTTTTTTCCACTATTTTCACTTCTTTCATTAGTTTCATTAGTTTCATTAGTTCCAATTCCTGTATTTCCTGCATTTCCTGCATTAGTTCGTTCCATCTTGCTTAACTGAACACAGCCTAGGATCCTTTTAAAAGTGTTGTTTTACAGTCTCGTAATATTCTTACAAGTTATATTTTACTGCAAGGTGTGTATTGTTATATACAAATTTTTAAATATGTAGACATAATATAAAGCATAATATAAAGTTGTCAATTTTCTCGTTGAAAATTTTTTTGTTTCAGAAACATTTATTGCAGTGATTCTTTAGACTGTTTTCTTTTATTTTGGAGAACTGTTTTCTTTGTGGAGTGACTTTCATAAAATTTCTAAGTCTGCAAGTGTACTAGGTTGATGATAAAACAGGACGGTTCAACATCTTCTTAATCATTGATTTGGAAATGTTAGACAGTTCCTATTTTGAACTCTTAAACAAAATGAAACACTGAATTCGAATACATTAGTTTTATCTCTCTTAACTATTTTTCTTGGTAGAGATAAATACATAAATAACTGCTTCCGTTCTACTCTTATCAGTTGACTCTGAATATCGATATATTGTAAGTAACGATTTTCTGTTTGCGTCAATATTATTTACGTTTTCTTCAGTGCGTGTGTGCTTTTTGTAGAACTAAAATTACAATTTTACAACATTTTAACTCTCATGGACAACTCTGTGGCCTCTTTTTATGTAACGTATGACTAATCTTTCTATAATTGGAGCGCACGTCCTATAAAAAAGTTTAATCAACTTCGCATACACAGTCTACTTTTATTATTGTTTGTATTTTCTTATTTTTATATGTAAATCGATCGCGACCGCTAAAGACTCATGTAAGAGTTCGAAATGTTTTGCAATTTTTATATTTCTGGGCACATGTGATCACTTTTATCTAAATATATCCATCGGTTTTGGCTCGATTTGACCTTTGTTAATGTTAGTTTTATACATTTACATATTCATTATTTAAAGTAGTACTACTAGTCTCAACTCCAGACATGTAAAATATATACAGGGTGTGCGACAATTAGTGTAAAATCTCTCGTAAGCAAGTAGAAGGAGTAAAACTGAGTCGAAAAGTTCCTGGACCATTTTTTTCTATTACATATAATAAATGAGTAATTATCGAATAAATCAAGCTAATCAGTGCCGACCTTCAGCCGGGCGCACGTCAGTGAACCATGCGCCTGGTTAGGTGTGCGTGAGCGGCTAAAGGTCGGCGCTGATTGGCTTAATTTATTCATTAATTACTTTTTTATATATATTATATGTAATAGAAAAAAATGGTTCAGGACTTTTTGATTCAATTTTATTCCTTCTACTTGCCTACAAGAGATTTTACATTAATTGTCGGACACCCTGTATATTTATTTTACTTAACATATGAATAAGAATTAGGTTTTTGTGAATATAATTTGCATTATGCAGATATTATTACGTAATGGAATGCTAGCATAAGAGAAGATGACACGAGACAGTATAGTTACGTCATCGTCCTTCATAGAAAATACTGGATACAATATAAACCTGTAGATCGACGTTTCGGAAGATCCGAAGTTCTCTGTATTTATTACATCAAATATTTTTATATTTATTTGCTTCTATACAATAAATGAACATATATGTATAATAAACATATACATGGTGTCCGACAATTAGTGTAAAATCTCTCGTAGGCAGGTAAAAGGAGTAAACCTGAGTCAAAACATCCTGACCATTTTTTAAATTACATATAATAAAGGAGTAGCGCCGATTGGCTTGATTTATTCAATAATTACTTAATTTATTCAATAATTACTTCTTTATTATATGTACTAGAAAAAACTGGTTCATGACTTTTTGACTCAATTTCACTCCTTCTACCTGCCTACGAGAGATTTTACACTAATTGTCGGACACCATGTATATGTTTATTATACATATATGTTCATTTATTGTATAGAAGCAAATAAATATAAAAATAGTTGGTGTAATAAATACAGAGAACTTCGGATCTTCCGTCGATCTACAGGTTTATATTGTATCCAGTATTTTCTATGAAGGACGATGACGTAACTATACTGTCTCGTGCTCGTGTCACCTTCTCTTGTACTAGCATTCTATTACCGCATAACACAAATTACATTCACAAATATAGTGCTTTTTTAAACTTTTTCATATACAATAATAACAATGGTAGCAGATACTATTATATTACAAACATTGATTTTTCTCACTAAACATCCCATTTAAATCATAATTTTGATTGTTTTATATTTAAAAAATAATAATAATACTGTATCGTAAAAATAATACTTTTCCGTTTTTAGATAATGGATTCGAAATATATATGTAGCGCTTAGAAATAAATTACAATATGAAAATATAGTTAAGTTATAATAGGAAACTGTAAGTAAAACATTATTCTCTCAATTTTAATATTCTAAGAGAATTTCTTTAAACATTATTTTCGATTTTAACATTCTAAGAGATTAGAAATCCTAATATAATCTATTTGCTTCTGTAGAACTTTTTATTTGGTGCAGTAAATACGAAACAATTCTTCGAAACGTATCATTTACAGATCTCTATTGTCAGTATCTTATTAACTCTTTGTAGACAGACCTTAAAGATAACTTACAAGTCAGATAAACTGAGTCTGTGAGATCCATGCGGTTTTAACATCTATCTTTGCAAAAAATCAATATTTTTTCAATTTTGTTTTTTTGAATCAAAAGTTTGAACAATTCTACGTCAATAAAAAAAAATAAATAAATTGAATTATGTTTGAAAAAAACTAGTAGTTTCGAAGATACAAGTGTTTAAAGAAAAGCCTGACAAGTTTGTTTTCAAAAACAAAGTTTTTTGTTTAAAACTTCATTTTTTTAATTAAAAGATTTACAAAATTCAAAAACAGTTTTGTAAAAAATTGCTTGTATTTTTAGAGAAAAAATTGTCTTTCAAAAATTTTAAAATTAAAAACATTTGTACAGTCTTTTGGAACGTTTTTCGAAGAATGCAATTTTTTAGCGCCCAACTTTGACATCCAATTTCAGTAATAAATCAATATTTTGACATATTTTTTAAAAGTTTATGCGATTCTCAAATAAAGACATTATCAAAGAAATGTTCTATAATTGCTGGGATATACATGTTTGAAGAAAAAAGAGCAACTTTTTTTTCAAGAAATCAGGCTTTTTCTTTTAAAAATCGTCTATTATTTTTGTAATTAAAAGTTTTTCATAACTCCGCTCGGTTTTGCAAGTGATTGCTTATAATTTGAGATAAAACATTGATATAAAAAAATTGTTATTTTAAAGAAGGTTCAGGTAAAAAGAATTTTTCTACTATAGTGATGGATAATGCAGGATATTATTTCATGTATTTTATAATGTTAAAACAAACTTAAAAATATTAAAATTTAAGCAAAAAAGACAAAATTATGAATAGAAAAATATTTTTTTATTGTTTGACATTCCCTTCATTACATCTTTTTTGGATTCCTAAGCAGAATCGAAATATTTGCTGTAAGCAGGTTGTTAAAATGTATGTATAAAATACTTTTATACGTTATACGTATAAAATTAGGTATAATATGTATAAAAATGTTAAAAAAGTATATTACATTGTATCTTATTCAGGGTGTTCTGAATCATCCTGTATATGACATATGTATATGTGTGTGTGATTAATGAGTATTTTACTATATTAAGATACTATAGATATGAAGAAACTATTAAATTATAATAACATGCAGTAACTGGCACTTTAATAACTCTTCAAAAGTTTCTTCTTTAAATTTTACGTTATCTTCTTTTGAATATAGTTTGTTTGATGTAACACAGTTCGCTTTATAAAATTAATAAATTTTATTATGTTTAAAAAATTACTTTTTTATTATTTCCTGTCCTCCATTAGCAGAAATAATAATAATAATTTACTGAGGTACTATATTAAAATGATTTTTGTTTATTTTGGCAGTTAAATGTTCACGTTTTGCAATGGTCATCAATGTGCTTGTTTCTTCATTGTTTCTCGCTCATTGCTTGTTTTTTGCTTTACAGTTTTATCTTATTCCAGAAGTAAATATTTTATAAGTAACTTTTTTTAATATTAAAAATTAATTTATATTAATTTAAAATCAAAAACTAAAGAATTGTATAAAAAGTACAAAATTAAAATTGTAATTTACGAAATATTTGTATATGTGTCGCCATTTTTTTACATGTCAAAAACTGCCAATGTATAATACGTATTTTATACATCTATAAGATTATGTATTATATTCAATGTATTATACACTAACAACCCTGGCTGTAAGTCGCTAAATATTCATAGACTTTGATAAAATACTATAAAATTATTTAAAAAATTAACAATTATTTGATATATTAAAAGTGCTTGAACTGAAAAACAATTTACTTACTTTTTGAAAAATCAATATCTCTGACAGACATGGGTCTCTGTCAAACTCTTTTCACACTTCACAAGTAAACACTCAAAAAGCTACTGAACGATTGATGCTGTCAACAGTTTCTGCCCATGTAACTTAAAATTTTTTTTCAGCGCTCTTAAATGTTCTAAATTAATATGTTCTAAATTAATACCTACTAGATACCAGTTTGAAATTTTTAAGTGAGCTCTGAGAGATTCCATGTCTGCATGCAAAGAGTTAACATACACAAATTTGTTGTATGTTGTTTGATTCTCAGGCAATAAATGTAAGCAGTAGTTCTTAAGCATTTTAAGCAGATTAATCAATCATAAGTCAGAAGTCTTTTGAACATAGCTTAAAATTGAGAAAATGAACGGCGTAAATGATTGATTTGTTTAATGATGAAAATTGCGTTCTGTTATTCATCGTCAATAATCACACATGAAAATCTATGGTTTACGTAACATATATTATAAATTTTCAGTGTTGGCGAATAAATTTCGGAACGCAGACTGAGTCTTGCTGCTTAAGTCTTTTCGTGTGTTCCCAATCTAAGTGTGGCAGCACTTGAGTTTGGCGCAGTTTTCTGTTCAGTATGGTAGAGTAGAAAGTAGTTTCTGTAAAGGAGAAAGCAGTTTGCTGATTTGTTTCTTATTTTTTTATGTTATTATATTGTGGGAAAAAATAAACTGCACGCCGGTGAGTTAAGACCGCGAATATTTTTCTATAACTGTGCATGAACACATCTCATACCTCTAATATACTGTAATAACACAAGTAATTTGGTCACATTTTGATACACGAACGGACGATTACAGACGGTTACGGACGTCTTCTTGTACGACGGCCTTTAGTTTTTTTTAGTCTGTTAAGGTATGGAAGTCTAGAAGAGTGGGAGAAAAACAACGAAGACAGAAGAAGAAGGTGAATTTTATCTGACAGAGATTTTGTCTCCTTAAAACTAGTCACGTCTGAAAAGTGCTACTAAGAAGATCTATTTAAAATCACGAATTCTTGAGTTTGCATATTTTAAAAGCATCTATCTACGTTTCGATACGTTACCGTTATTTTTTCATCTCAGTTATAAGTCCATATATAAAGAATTTAAAGTGTAACGAAAGAACCATTCATTCAAGAACTACCTTAGTCAATCGATTGTGTGAACACGTAATCAGGTGACTACGTACATAAATTGAGCTCGTTATTCTACGATCGTCAGTATACGACTACAATAGAGCGAAAAAACCTAAGTATTCTAATGACAAAGTAGTTGTATTTATTGTATTATTTTAAACTTTGCTTAATACATAATAAAAGTAGTTATATTTATTGTATTATTTTAAAATTTGCTTAATAAATAATAAAAGTTTTGCATAATCGTCAAGAAGAACATAATATATTGTTAGAATATATTTAAGTTATACATATACACAAATATATTACAAAACAATTTTAACACAATAAAACAAACTACGGTACATATAACGGCACATGTTCATTAAAGCTTCTGTTATATAATATATTATATAATATGTTATCATATATGTATAATTTTTTCTCTCTCTCTTTCTCTCTCTTTTACATATGTCTATATGCGTGCGTGCGTGTATGTGTGTGTGTGTGTGTGTGTGTGTGTGTGTGCGCGCGCGGGCGCATGTACACAATACATCAAAAATTCGCGGAGTAGTATTCGCGGGAGTTTAAGGTCAAAAGAGATGGTTTTTCTTAAAAATAAATAGCGCCAACGAGCACTGTACCACCTAACTAGTAGCAATCATTTATCCACAACTGTGTCGCGTTATTTATCCCTAAGAAAAACCGCTTTTCTTGCTTCCGCGCCTACTCCGTGAATTTTTGACGCGCTGTGTACATACATATACAGGATGTGCGACAATTAGTGTCAAATCTCTCGTAGGCAGGTAGAAGAAGTAAGTGGTTCAGGACTTTTCGACTCAGTTTTACTCCTTCTATTTGCCTACGAGAGGTTTTACGACACTAATTGTCGGACACTCTGTGTACATATTAATATAAAAATATTAATATAAAAATATATATTAATTTTTCAGTTTACACTATAAATACAATGTATCAGATCGTATTTCTTGTGACGGATATACTGTGGTTAATCTTGCAAATATTTCATTCTATTTGCGAAAGTGTATTCAACAGCATATTCTCCTTCAAAAAAAATGTGGCTAATGAAATTGTTTTGGTATGTACAGAGTGCATATAACATATATAACATACGCTCGTAAATATTTTGAAGTTTATTTCGAGTATATTTTAATGTAAATAGATTAATGTATATAAATTTTTTAATTTATATTAAAATAAGTTCTTTATACGCCGCCTTACGGAATTTTAAATCATGACTTACTCATAACAGTAAAATCTATCTGAAAAAAAACTTTGTATTAATACATGCGTAAGATCAATTTCGAAATATGCATATCGTATATTTTTCTAAAAAATCTTTGACATAACACATGGACATCCTTCAGATGTCCAATATATGTTGAGAGCATATATCGGACGTCCAAAGAATCGTCGATGTGTTGTGTGAGCTGTTACGTGAGAATCAAGATTATATACTTTCTTAATTTATAAACCAAAAACTTTTTGGTAAATTTTATCAATTTAGCAAACTCAGTTTTAACGTTTGTAATGTAAAGGACTCGATTGTTTCTTCCAATCGGATGAAAACGCTATTAATAAATAGAGCAAAAACAATTAATTCAATTGTGACTTTTATACAATTAATTGTACTTTTGTTTATATTATTATTATATTACATATATATTACGTGAAATATAATAACATAAAAAAAACTAAAAAAAAGTATTCTGGCGCCATATTAAGCAAGTAACGTAACTTAGAAAAATTAAAAACGAATTAAATAATTGAGATACAATAAAAATTGAGATAATATAAAAATAACAATGTCAAACGGCTACAAATATAAATTACTACTATAGTTTTTGTGTGTAATTTAATAGATAACAGGTACAGGTCACGGTATAGGAAAGGAATTGGCAATTCAATATGCGCGTTTAGGTGCAAGAGTGGTTTGTTTAGACGTGAATCAAGAAACAAACAAGAATACAGTTGAAGAAATTAAACTAACCGTAAAAAACTTGAAAGAAAATGCGGTATATGCATATCAGTATGTATCAATTTCAGTGATTTAAACTTCATAATTATAATGTAATATACAATTTGTTCTTGTATAAATAATTTGTTCGCGCATTGATAATAATTGCGATAGTTTCTTTCAAATAAATATATTATTTCTACAGTTGTGACATATCTAATAGAGACAATGTTTTCGAAGTAGCCAAGAAAGTAAGAACTGACGTTGGTGATGTTACCATTTTAATCAATAATGCTGGCATAATGCCTTGTCGCGCTTTTCTAGATCACACAACCGATCAAATTAGACAAATTTTTGACATCAATGTGCTGTCACACTTTTGGGTAAAAGAAAAAAAAGAATTGCATAGTTACTATAATTATATATACAATATACATATTATCCAGAATAATAAAAAATCTAAATATGTTTAGATGTTACAAGCCTATTTACCAAATATGATAAAAAACAATCATGGACACGTCGTTGCATTATCATCGATAGCAGGACTATCAGGAGTTCCTTATTTAGTCCCTTATTGTTCTGCAAAGTACGCAGTAAGAGGTAAAGCTGACAAGTGAGATCTTATTATTTAAATAATATTACTCTTTTTTTATTCCTTTTTTTAGCAATTGCTTCAAATAATTGATTTTAACTTGAGAAACACACGTTGCTTGTTTCACGCGTTATGTTAATTTTATTTTTTAGGTCTTATGAATACAATTAATGAAGAATTACGAATTCAAACTGAAAATAAATCTTTAATAAAATTTACTACTATTTTTCCTTACATGGTGAATACAGGACTTTGCAAAAAACCAAAAGTAAATGAAAGGTAAGAAGAACTAATACGCAACAAGTTTATATACAACATAGGTGTACAAAAATATTTATTATTAACATAAAAAACTTAATTATTATAACAAATGATATTTAATTCAAAATGAATAATAGTTTTTTTTTATTATATACTTGGCCTTTTTCTTCTAGATTATCATGGGTCATGAATATAAAACAACCAGCAGACATAGCTGCGGAAATAATTGCTGCACAACGACAAGATGTGTTCGAAAAATCCATACCTTTCTACTGGTTATCAATTGCTGCAATTTTGAAGTACAAATCGATATTTTACAACTTATTGTATTAATTATAAATTATTTAAAACTTAGTAAATATAATTTTAATTTCAGTTGTTTACCTGTAAAAACAACGAATTATATGAAAGACTTTTTAGCTTCCGGTGTCGAACCAGATAACTAATATATACGTACAGGATTTGCGTAAATTGTCTTTCTAATATATTTTACGAGGATGTATGAGAAAAAAGACAAAGTATGAGAAAAAAGACAAAATAAACTTGTAAGGCAAAGTATAATCGATAGCAATATTTGTCGATATATTATATGTACTATATTCTTTCGATAGAACTCATACAACACCGAAGTTTCCAGTAATATTTCAGAAACGTTGCAACATTGCAAGTTGCAATGTAATATTACAAAGATGTTTTAGAGACATATAATATCAATATTTTGCCGATATTTTCTAGCAATATTTTTTTTTTTATACTATGTTTAATTCTAGTATATTAAATAGTTTTGAGTAGCTATTAAAAAACATATATGTATATATACAAAATATATATACATATATATATATGTGTATATATATATATATGTGTGTGTGTGTGTGTGTGTGTATGTGTGTGTATTCCTTTGAAGATAAAGTATATATACTTGTGCTTTTTTAAATAAATATCATAAAAATTATAAACATTTACTTTGTATTATATATCACCAGAACATTTATCAAGATCATCGTATCCTCTCAATCCAACTTTTGTACCCGCAACATAACAAGCATATTCAATGGCATTTTGTAAGATTGTCTTATCGATGAATTTCGTTTGAATATATTCCAAACTTTCTATGTTAAAATTGTGTTTAACGTTTCGTTTAGCATTACCATCGAAAATATCATTCTTCGTTCGGTTAGCATTATTCGAGCAAGTTGTTTCTTGCTTACATTTCTGCATAAATTGTAATTTTTTTTTATTTAAAAAAAACAAAACAGCTGCATTAAACGTGTCACCTGCTCCCAAAGTATCGATCACTTTCTGTGGTGGAAAAGCCGCAGATTTCACTATCGCACCACTTGTAGTGCGTGCCATCGCACCTTCTTCTCCCCACGCGCAGATAATGATTCCTCTATAAGAAACATTACATTTTTCGTGTGAGAATATTATATTAACATAGATAATGTAATTATAAATATATGTTATAATAATCGCTACAATAAATTTATTTATACAGTAGAATTCCCCAAAACGATATACTCTCTCAAAACATATGTGCTTCCCAAAACACATATGCGCATCTACTTTCAAAACGTAATTTTCTCCTCGCTTTTCTCACTACTAAAGGCCTCCGCATAAACCCTTTCGCAACGCGTTACTTTACGTAAAGGTAGTTCCCGTGCAAAACCACTTTTTTATAGAATTTAATAAAACTTAAATAGAATGTTAATAATGATGATTTACAATTACTGACGCAATTTCAAAGAAATTGACCGATTGTGAAGCGAGATATTCACAAAGTATAGGCGTTATTAACATACATTCCCTATACATCCAAACCGAATACATCCAAACAGCCTATTTTTGTTTTTAATTTCAAAACGACTCTATAATTATAATATAAATTTTTACAAAAAACAACTATATATTATAGAGAAACATTTTAGAAATATTTGAAAAAAAAAATTAGTTTTTACCGTTTCAATACATAGTTATACATAGTTATACATTTTTTTGACTTGTTTTGGACGTACAGTATCGGTCAAAAGTTTGGACGCAGGAGTACTGTATTATGCACACTACCCACAATAAGCGTACCTGCGTCCGTGAGTTCACGGTTCTCGCTTGTGGGCACATCCTTATCGTCTCAATAGAACCTACTCCCACCTACAGTGGAGGGGATTAAGTTGAGTTGACAGACGATTTCCCTTGCTCCTCGCGTCTGTTAGCTTGTGGGTAGTGCGCATTCTTGTGAGCTCCCAATAGTAAATGTAAAAGACAGCGCAGTATCGCTAAGCATAATATATAATTTTTTGTACTGACACTAGATTTCACTTTTGAATAGGACTGTCGCACGGGAACTATTTTAAGTACTGAGATGCGTTCGGGGAGCGCGCTATCAGCGCTGTTGCATCATTCTATCTTTATTGCTCATTAGAAAAAAACAAAGATAGAATGACGCAATAGCACTGATAGCGTGATCCCCGAACGCAGCCTTGGCCGTAAACGTAGATTCGTGCGTAACTTTAAATTTTACTCAACGCACAAACAAAATTAACGTATCACTTTTTATGCTACATTAACTTAATTTTGTTTGTGCGTTGAATAAAGTTCAAGTTTACATACGAATCTAAGTTTATGACCAGTATTTTACGCGTTACGAAAGAATTTGTGCGAAGACCCTAAATATGGTTTGCGTTCCGTTTCACGCATATGCGCGTATTTATCTGTAGTACACGTTATGTGTATAGTACACGTATAGTATAGTATAGTACACGTTACGTTAACGCAGCTTGAAACTGCGCTAGCGGTTGCGCAACAGTCTTTGCGCATGCTTGAGTTAAAGAGTGAAAGAAAAAAAAAAGTATACGTTTTGAAAGGTTGTACTGTAAATACTTCATATCTATCAAAAAGTCAAGCAACTAACTCAAAATTCATTAAATTCTTTATATTTACCTGAGTTCAGTATTTTGGCCGATAGTTTCAATTACATCGTTCATATTGCAGAATCCTTGGGTCTTAGCAAAATCCTTAGATATAAATAGTATATCAGCATATGGCAAAAAGTCTAATAACTTGGCACCCGATCTCGGACTTTCTAATTCAATGCTAACTGTAATTGGACAACTATTTTTTTCGCGATGATCACGTAATGATTTATTATAATTTTCTATATGCTGCATCATAAGCAATATTTGATTCACATTCCTTCCCTTGAAGATAAATAATAATTTAGTTTCTAAGTTATTAAGCTGCGTGTATATATGTAACTGCAGAGAATTCCCGCACAGCATCTTTTATTGCAAGTTTATATTAGATACGTAACAATATTGCATTTTTACATTCCGTTTCATTTCATATCAAATATAATGTCTTAAATACGTAATTAACGCAATAGGTTTGAAATATCTAAGAAATTAAATTAAATATCTCGAACTACGTATGTAACACATAGCAGGTATATTACGCATATTACATGTATTAATATATATATAATGTATATTACGCGCATTAATGTATATTAATGTATATTATTATGTATTAATGTATATTATTTACATGTATATTACATGTAAATGTATTAATGTATCAAACACATAGTTAATATTTATTTAACAAAACGAAGTACGCGCTTTGCGATTATTGCTTGTCATCAATATATACTCTCATATTTGCTATAGATTTATAAAAACAAGTTAATTACAGATAATAAGCGCGTGCTTAGCTCACGTGCTGAGTTCTGCTGAAAGCAGCCGAAATGTCATAAAAATAACATAGTAACGATTAACTAAGCACCACTAACTTAAAAAGATCAGACAGTTTTTGACCGGTCCAGTGATCTCGCAGTTTAAAAAGAGTGTGTGAGTGATATTGGAAAGGAAAAAGTGTGCTTGCAAAAAAAAATAATATATAATTATTGGAAAATATACTATCATGTGTCAGCATTTGTTCGAGAACTTTTTATTTTATTTAGTTTTAGAAACAAATAAAACATAAAGTTTAAGTAATAAAATGCTTTATATCAATAATATATTTTTAAATGCTACACTTTTAACATTTAAAAAATATATTTAATATAACATTTTTATTACTTTAAACTTTATAATATATGTATATATGTATATACATATATTATAAATATTGCAAATGTACTGTGTACGTCATATATCCATATACATACATATATCCATATATATACATATATTATAAAGTTTAAAGTACATATATTATATACATATATACATATATATGTATATAATATATATTATATACATATATATGTATATATGTATATAATATATGTACTTTAAACTTCATAATACATGTATATATATGGATATATGTATGTATATGGATATATGACGTACACAGTACATTTGCAATATTGTAGATGCGTATTAAATACATAAGTTACGTATGTAACACGTATCGAATATACATATTGTTATATTATTGTTATATTATGTATCTGCTAAGTTACATACTATAGCGCAGACATTCATTGGTATTAAACATTTGTCAGGTACATGATTTATACGTATTATTACGTATTCGCTATATATAACAATCTTTTACATTTTATGTATCTGCTATATATCTGAAATATAAAATGCTGTGCGGGTTATATCTCCTAAATTATATCAAACCTACTTCGAAGTGAATCCAGCTGTATTCTTTTAAATTAAATTGTTGAAAATTATCAAACGTTAATTCTGGTAAATTTTGATTGTGATATACAATCGTGCGAGTTCCAGTGCTTAAACTCAATATAATAGTTGCAGTAGGACAAGCAATGCCTTCTAACAAGGGACAATGGGAATAACCGATTTTATATTTGCGCATGTCATTTTGCATAAAATTAATATGTTCGTCTAAACTCAAACAAGCCAGTAGTTCACACGGCTGTCCTAGTAACGACAACACTGTACAGGTGTTAGATGCATTGCCTCCTCTCTGCCATCTGTAGTCAACAGCTCTAAAATTTATATTTTTTTTAATAGAAATGTTAAAAACATTAAATTTTGAAAAGATTAAAAAAACTTTGCGTTACAAATGACTTTTATAAACGATCACAAACTTTTTAATCTACAAAAGAAAATATTTCGCTAATCGTTTTCCAATAAAATAAAAGCTTTTTTTTTATATCATTAAGGTTTAAAATTAAAGATGGAATCTTGAAAAGATTTGATACATCTTATATATTTAAAAAAATCGCTTTGGTATAATTTCAATTGGTATTATCGAGTTGGAATAAATTCTCTCTTGTGCGCTTGCGTTTAAATCTATTTTGAGATACAAATGCAAATTCCGATGCGCGTTCATGCGGTTCGCGCACATTATCAATATTAATCGGCAACATATGCGACGTGTTATATATTCGACTAACCTTACAGTCGAGTCCTCCGAAGGAAATTGCTGACATGTGTAAACGATGTCGAGACAAACGCGTCCGACACACAAGATTTTAAGCGTATCATTCTTTATTGGAAAAGCGCTCCCGACCTCTTCGTAAGAGCTCGATGCCATTTTGCCAATCAAAATATATTAAAACTATCTTACACTACTATTTTACACTACTTTATAGACATCAATACGCGTCAACAAATTGCAGTTTAAGGCAAACGCGATTAAAAAAAAAAAAAAAAAACTAAACTGCTGAACTCACAAAACTGAAGTTTAACAGAGTCATAATTTACAAGCGATAATAAGAGAGAAGTAGGAGAAAAGGGGCAAAGTGCAAGCTAGATTTAACCATAGAATGTAAACATCATGAATTTAACTTGATTAGATCTGATCGCGTTGTAGCTACACTTCGTTTCTATACTTTGTCTTTTCTCTTTCTCTCGCTTTAACATTTACGTATATTTGTCGTATATTCGCTGAATGCGAAAAAAAATCTATATGTAAAAACTAAATAAGAATGTCATCTATATACACGTAAAATATGCGCCTGTCCACGGTATTAGTTATTCGAGACGAATTTGTTACGAGCTTTGTCTGTTCGGTCAGCATATGTGAGAGAATGGCCGCGTTCAGTAAAACAATTGCTGAGTTGTTGTCTTGTCAACACCGGACGTTGATTAATTGGTTCTAAAAGTAAGAGCCAATCATGTTCGATTGGCTACAAAGCAATTCGTTCTGCTGAACGCAATCAATGACCGCGTTCAAGTGAATTAAGCGCTTATTGTCTGTGATTGGCCTTTGCCGGTAGATCTATTGCAAATATAAAAGCATGTGCCAATGACAAGCTTGCTTTGCAATTACTGAGCGTTCGATTCTTCAGCCAATTGCCGCGTTCAGCGGAAACAAGCTGCTTGCAAGTAACAATCGAACGTTGATAAATTCTTACTTTTAAGACCAATTAATCAATCGTCGAGTGTTGACAAGACAACAAATCAGCAATTGTTCTATTGAACGCGGTTAATTTCGACTGAGTTCGGTCCGATATTCGTTCTCAGTACTGGAAATCTATAGCATATGCGACGTGAAGTATAGATTTTTAATACCGACAGTGAACATTGGAACGCAGCCTTCGAACATCGGGTGCGTTCAGACAACTCAACAGTTGCACAACGGTTGAGAGATAATCACATCTGATTGGATCATACTTTTGGAACCGATTCAGATTTTGAAGAATAGTCCTATCATAAGTAATGATCTCTCAACCGTTGAGTTGTCTGAACGCACCCATCATCATCACTGCTTGTTTCTTCTGCTCCGTGGTTTTAAATAGTCAAAATGTCAAGATGGCGACGAGATCGAATCCTTAACGCATTTCAGATTATTTTTTACTAACATTTCCAAAACTTTGCGATATTTATTAATATCGAACGAAAAGGAAACTCACATATTTAAACACGCGAGAGAGAAATTGTTTAATTTTTCGTAGCAATTATTGCACTTCGGCGTGCTCCTATGCGCAACACGATCTGACAAATTTTCACATAATTTCCATATTGAAAATTATTGAAAATCTTATGTTCGACTAGTTATTTACTTATTATTTATATAAGTTTTACAATGGATCCGCGTTTGCATAGGAGATCCGAGCCGGAAAAAGGGCCGGCCAATTTGGTTAGTGGCATTAACCTCAAAATTATCGACTTGCACCGCGCGTTTCTTATCTCGTGTCGACAAAAAATGACAAATTATATTTGAAAGATGGTATTTTAAAGATGTGTTTTAAGCGTTTAGTTATAGACCGGTGTTCATATTCATTTTTTGCAGGATTTCTCATTTATTTATTTATGTAGAATTGTACACACATCAAACACACGATACATGAAGAAACAAATAATTTTAAGTTACTTAAAATTTGAATTTTGTTTTAATTTTTTATTGCAGATTGTTGACTGGTTAAATGAGGCTTCCATAAGCCTTTCTGAGGAAGTTAAAGTCACAAATATCTGCAAAGTACAAGAGATTTTGTTAAATAAAGAACCACATTTGTTAAAACTTTACTTGGACGACATTCTACAATTTTCTGTAGACAGAAGCTCGGAAGTTAGAAAAACTGTTACAGGATTTATTGAAGAAGCTGGGTTATTATCACAACAATTAATCATAGTTTATCATATTTATTAATAATCACATTTATAATTTGTTTTTGTATGGAAACATTTTACTTTATATTTGTATTATTTTCAGAATAAAGTATCCAGAGGTAATTCCTTCTATAGTTCAGGTACTTCTTAGATTAGCATCAGATGATGCATCTGCTGTAGCTAAACGAGCGCTTAGAGCTAGCGGAAGAATTCTGAGAGCTGCGCTTAAATGGATTGCTAGTGCTGCTGTTGTTACATCAGAAATGGAATTAGCATGGACCAACTTAAGTGCTCTTAAAGTTCAGATTATTAATATGATTGACAGTGATAACGATGGGTAAACTAACTACTCGAGATTGATTGATGATTTAATTTATATCATAAGATATGGATTTGATATTCACTAAAAATTGTTTTGCATTTCAGAATAAGAACACAAGCTGTAAAGTTTCTTGAAGGTGTGGTTTTAATACAAACATATCCAGATCCTGACAGTCCAAAGAAATCTGATGACTTTTCTCTTGAGGATATTCCATTAACACTGAAGATAGCACGCAGACGAAAATTGGAAGAAGAAGCAAATCATGTTATGGACTTACTAATCAAGTTTCACGGATCTCCTCATGTCAGCAGTGTGAATTTAATGACATGTATGGGATCTTTGGCGTCAATCGCAAAAATGAGACCACAATTTATGTCAAATGTAATTCAAGGTACATGTTTTACATGTCGCGTACCGTTGACATACTATCACAAGTTAAAATGCGATTTAATAACTGACATAATTTCACAGCATTACAGAGGCTGCAACATGATTTACCACCAACGTTATCTGACTCTCAAGTAACTAGCGTACAAAAACAACTGAAACTTACACTTCTTGGTCTAATGAAACATCCTGCTAGTATAGAGTATGCATCAGTCATAGCAAAAGAATTGACTCAGCTTGGAGCAAAAGAACAAGAAATTATTAAAGCCTATCCGAAACCAGAAGATATTCGTCGGATAAAAAAGCGTCAACAGGTACAAGAATTTTTATCTAAAACAATTATAGGTTTTATTACGTATAATTTTTTTCAAAACTTTTTTTTTTGTTATGTATAAAGGAATCTACGTCGGCTACTACTGCTGCAAAACGAACAAAACTTGATGTTGCAATATCCGATGACGAATCAACTTCTCTTTCATCTCCTAAAGTCCCTGAGTTACCTGAACTGTCTGAAAGTTTTATTGCCGAAAGGCTTAGTGTAGAAATTGCAACGGAATTAGTGATGGACAGTATGGTATATATATTGCACATTTATACATATATATTATATATATATAATTTATATTCATGCTTCTTGTACATGTAATATCAATACATGTTAAAAAAACAACTGCACAGGCGTGGGTTCCGGATACCATGTCGACAATTTTTCAAAGAGAATATCAACCCACAGCAACTACCGACAGTAACGTACAACGGCAAACAATCGCTAAACTGTTAGCATCGCAAATCAGACAAAAATTGAAAAAGAATAGAAAAGAAGCCAAGGAAGAGGATGCCGTAATGGAAGACTTGATTAAGAACCCCAGCATTAGTGTAGCCGAGGCTAAACGCGAGCGAAAACGCGAGAAAGATCGTGAGAAGGAGAAAGAAGCGAAAGCGTCATTAGAAGCTCATGAAAAATCCCTTGCAAAAGCTAGAAGTCGTTTGAAAGCATTAAAATTGGCTGAAGTGACGAAACCACTTGCGAAGGACGTTAAAGAACGAATGTTGTTAATGGCAGTGAATAGAGTATTGCTTGCGGAAAAGACTGCAGTTTTTGGTGGCGTTGCTGCTGTAAGGTACAGTACTCTCCCTATAAATTTGGAAACACCCTATATTTTACAATGTATCCAAATCAAAAACATGCACAGATCGCTGTCATGCGATTGTTTGCCTGTAAAACGTAAGGTGTTTCCAAACCTGTGGAGAATATTGTATATCAAAACACATACACTATCTTTTTTCTGGAATATTCTATTAAATACAGTTATAAGTATGTAAAAAAAAATGTTTTTCCAAAATAATATGAACATCTTTGATAACTTTTATATTTTCCTGTCACATCTTATAGATCCAAGATTTTGACAACATTGGCGGCCACTTTTAATCCTTACATTAAGGAAGCTGTACTACGTTATATCACTGATGATATGCGAAATCGACTAGATTTGGCAATGGGGTGGCTATATGAGGAATATGCTTTGCTACAAGGATTTCAGAGACGAACTATATTGTGTACGAAACCTCAGGAAGCTCCGCATCAAGCATATAATTTTTTATTGTGCACTTTAGTTTCAGCTATTGATTTAGTTCAGGGTAAAGATCGTGATACTCTGTTGTACAGGTAAATTAAATTTTTGTGTTTCATACGCGAAATGCGAGATACAGTAGTTTCTCGCTAACGGTCTCCTTCTCGGTTCCGCGAGCGAAACGATATCGAGGGAGGTATTGTTCCGAGAATTGTGTGCGGGCTGTTATTTCTGATTGGCTCGATCGCCGCAAAGTCATCCCCATCAATTCGCGCAAAGCCTCGGTGAAGCATCTATAGAAATTGGAGATGACTCCCGGAACGATATCGAGGAAAAAATTCGGACCGTTAGCGAGGAACTACTGTAAATATCTATTTATGTATCATATCACATAAAATGGAAAATTTTCTTTCACATAAAAGACTATATCTGGAAGCACCGTTAATAACAGAAGATGCTGTAGAGGCTTTAAAGGTAGTCTCTTCCGATGAAACTAGAGGTCTTGCTCCTCTGCAACTTCTGAAAGAGATGGTATTACGTAGGCCGACAAAACAACTAGTATTTTTAAATGTCCTGTTATGCCATACTGGGCATGAAAACAACACGGTAAGAAATTAAAAATTAAATAATAAATTTATATTTTATATTTATAAAATTTGTTTTTATGCGATTAGATACGAGAAGCTGCGATACAATTAGTCTGCCAATTATACAGCAGGCCAGAATTAAGCAAACTGATCGAGGAATATGCAGTTCTTTATTTAGGGTTTTTGCGTCTTCACAATCCGCCCGAAATTGTTTTTGGACAAGATAGAGGCAGACCGCAAATTGAGAGTCAGTGGAGTGAATCGACCACGCGTGCTTGCTTAGGATTATATCTCGCTCTCCTCAGTGAACATCAAGACCTCATTCATGAGTAAGTGGCAATATCAGGTTTGTTATTAATATATGTATATACTATATAGAAAAAATGCTGAAAATAGTTTAATAACAGATTGGCAAGAGTATATACATCAATGGGAGCAGATGTAAAACGTATTGTATTAAGATTGGTGGAAGGACCCGTAAGATCATTAGGTATGGGAAGCCCACAATTGCTGGCGCTCGTTGAAAACTGTCCAAAGGGATCTGAAACCTTAGTTACTAGAATCATACATATTCTCACGGAAAAATGTATGTTGTTATAACTTTCTCAAGAATACGTTTTCTTTCGGTTTTCTTATATTGTTTAATATAATGACGTTTATAATGTATATAGCCGCTCCGAGTGCAGAACTGGTCGCAAGAGTACGAGAATTATATCAGACTAGAGTTTCTGATGTTCGATTCCTAATTCCTGTTTTGAATGGACTCACGAAAAAAGAAGTAATCGCTGCACTTCCAAAACTCATAAAATTAAATCCTATTGTTGTAAAAGAGGTAAATAAAGTACTTGAAAGATATATATAAATATATATATCAAAATTTCAGATGTATTTCTGCACGCGAATGTACAATAAATAATGAGAAATGATTGACTTTTCAGGTGTTTAACAGATTACTTGGAACACACAATAATGACAGTGGTGTACCTCATACATCACCTATTACACCCGCGGAATTATTGATAGCTTTACATAATATAGACCCAAGCAAAGCTGAATTGAAGACCGTCATTAAAGGTAAATTATTCCTGATAGGAAAACATTTACAAAATTATGTGACAAAATCTTGCACTAAAATTGTAATTTGCAATCATACAGATATATTTTGGGAAATAGATGTAAAAACATTGATCTTTTATAAAATATTTGTAATATTTGTTTGCAAAATTACTTTCCAAATACTATTTTGGCAAAAGAATAGCGATATGGCGAATCATCTTAGCAGTATATTTGCAAAATTAATTTCAAAAAGAAATTGTCTAATAATTGAGAAAAAAATTTCAGCTATGTGATGTTTAAAATATGTAGAGAAATATAATTATATATGAAGAAATCAACTTAATTCATGTATACTTATGAAAATGCATAACGACTTTTTCGCAATTTTTGACAAATATTATTTACAAAATTTTATTTTGACAAAACTGTTGCGTTATGGCGAATTATCTTAGTGCAATCATTGCAAAATTGTTATTTATGATGCCATTTTTGTGCAATATTTTCACAATTTGCCTATTAGGGATCTTATATATATTTTCTAGAACTAATATATCCTAACACACACATATACACATATACCTGAATTTATATCGATATTTTCTTTCATTTCTAGCGACGTCTCTTTGCTTCGCTGAAAAGCAAGTCTACACGCAGGAAACAGTTGCCGTTGTGATGCAGCATCTTATGGAGATGACACCCTTGCCAACATTGTTAATGCGAACAGTTATACAGAGTCTGGCTCTTTACCCAAGACTAAGCGGATTTGTCATGAACATACTTCAGCGGCTAATTTTGAAACAAGTATGGAAACAGCCAAAAGTGTGGGAAGGTTTCGTCAAATGTTGCGAACGAACGCAGCCGCAAAGTTTCGCCGTTATATTGCAATTACCGCCGACACAGTTAGCAGAAGCGCTCCGAATGGCTAGCAATTTACGTGCCCCCTTATTAGCTCACATTGAAGCTTTTACTGAGAATCAGGTAATTCAAGACAATCATATATGTTAGACACACTGTCGCTATGCGATCTTTTATATAAAAAAGATACGATATCATTTTTATTTCTTTTTTCAGAGAGCACACATTCCACAATCGATAATGGATGTCATACAGGGTAAAACACCTTGTGAAATACACGATGAGTTTGATATAGTGAGTAAAAATTCCTGTATATAAAACAAAAATAATCTTTTTTTAGTATTCATTATAATTCTTTATATATATAACATACATATATATATATATATATATATACATATATAATAATATATATATAAAATAAATATACAGAGTGCCTCGACCCAAAAGTATCTTTTCCATCAATTTCTTTCAGGGGCCACGGAGTGATTATTCGAATGATCAAAAACCAGATACAATGGAAATTGATCTTTCGGAACCAGCTCCTCCCGGCTTAGATTAGCATAGTTATTCTAGTGCTAGAAATTAGAGAGAAAGTTTGTCTGTCCCGGTATTTTTTTAACACATCCAAACTGTAAAATTATTTAATTTTTAATTATTTTCTTTAATGTGACGTTTATATACATCACATTATTTACGCCATAACAGTTACATAGTGGCGTCTAATGTGTAGCGCGTGCCTGTTCATATTTAGTTTTTCATTTGAATATACAGCTGAATTCGAAATTTTATTCAGCTATTATCATTTGATCTCTTCCTTCAATATCTTCAAAAGATTTATTTCTACATACAATATAAATATAAAGCAGCTGATATATAAAATAGTCATCATTTGATTTATATCACATTTAAACAGACTAGATTAATATTGAAATATTGAATAGATTAATATTAAAATATTGAATAGAATAATATTGAGATATTGAAGAAATTTATGTTGTTTTTGAGAAAACAACGTAACACTCTTTTACTTAAAGATCTAAACATGTGTTGTATATTCCTGAGATATCTTTAACTAAGCTATCAGTGTTGATTATATGTATATATATAGATAATATATATATATATAGATAAATAAGACAATATCGTTGTATTAAACTCGAAAATTATATAACTTTGCCACAAAATATAAACTATATGAAGCTAATATAGAAAAAAATAAAGAAAACTTATACATCTTGAGTTTTTGGACCAAGTCAAAATGTTTTAATTGCTTCATTATGTACTGTTTGTGCATGAAAATTAACTTATCAAGAGTACATTAACAAATCAGTTTTAAACATTACTTATCTGTCTGTATATATATTGCATACTTGTTCGAAATAGTAATATTTGTAGCACAAGTCTGAAAAAAGGGTGTGTGTGTGTGTATGTGTAAAAGAAAATTATAAAGTCAAGGCCATGAATATATCACATGAAAGTCATAACTTTTTATAAAGTATAACTTTTCACAATATAAATATATATATAATCTACAATGTATAAAAAATAATAAACTATTTTTTGTTATATATTCATGTTATTTGCATATATATTTTTCCTTTCCAAGATTAAGTGAGCTAAATATACAAAAGATCTATTATACAAAACTTATTTTTATTTAAAAAAGAAATTGAAGAAAATATAGCTATTACAAAAATTTAGCAAATTTAGAACAATACAAGATTTAAAAATATTTCAAGATAGTGATAATAACCTGTTAAAAATTTAATTATGTAATATGTAGTCTAATAACTCTTCAACAGTTATGTGACATCTTGAAAATCATCTTTAAAAATCTTAATTTTCTTATAGTATAGTTGTGTGTGTGTGTGTATTTTGTGTGCTTCCGGGTTCTCAAATTCATTTGTATGACTGAGAAAAATAAATATTAATCAACTAATAAATAAATCTAATAGCATCTAACGTTATTTTTTTAAGTAAAAAATATTGTCTTATAAATTTATAAATTTTCAAGATATACTAAATAATGTCTTAAAAATTTATAAATTTTTAAGGTATACAAACATATTGTTTACATGTATACGTAACATATGTAACAAAGGACATGAATTTATAACACAAATATAACTATGTAACACCAGATATATGTATATTTTTGTATGTGCATACTTATGACATTACATCATGCAAAATCAACACCAGTATCTAATAAATCTCGTAACATAAAGGATGCCTTTTTTGGAAGAATCCTGTAAAAACCGAAGAAATCTTTAATACAGTAGGTATTTATCATATTATATTTGCATATACACGAGTAAATACCTTAATATATGTCCTAGATAAAATAGATATCCTGGTACGCTAAATTCAGCGTAATTTCGCCGAACGCCATCTAAAATTTGTCGAGCAGCTTCTACAGCCGATATAGTTCCGAAGTAACTTGGTATTCTGCAAGCGTGCGTTTAAAACATTTAAATATTAAGAAACTATAATGATTATATGACTATGAAAATTGTATATATAAAATGTGAAGTACAATTTGTGTAAACATATTACCTAAAACGTATATCCTTTGCAGTTTCTGCGCCAATAATAAACGGATAAACATGAACTAACGAGACAATGATATTGCTATCTGAATGTCTTAATTCCATGTGCAAAGATTCAGCTAAACCTTGCAAAGCAAATTGTGCAGTAGACAAGGGAACTCTGGTTCCACGTCCACTCGAACCATTTGAAAGACCCGCAACAGACGACAATAATGTAATATGGCCTTTACCAACACGTCGCATACATGGCAAAATTGAATCCAGTAACTACAGCATTAATAACATTTAACTGTTACAAATTATATTTCCACAAAATTGATATTTAAAATTCTTATATCAAATAAATTTATGTACCCAAAAATGGCTAATAACTGACACATGCATTGTGTCCTCTACATCTGATGATTCTTGCACTAAGGCACGTGGACTGGGTAAACTACAGCAATGGAAGAGCATTGTAATTTCTCCGAAATCAGACTTAATAAGATTTACTGTTTGAACAACCTGTGATCGCAATTAGTAAGTTATATTTCAACAACATATTTAGGAATACAATAACAAATATATTAATATGATATACAATTTAAAGAAAAAATGTATACATACTGCTTGTTTATTTCTCACATCACATTGGTAAGCTCTACATAACCCATGTAATTCCCGAGCACGTTGTACAGTGGCATCACAAATTTCTTTATTGATATCTACCATTGCAACTGTGACCCCAATCTGGCATAGCTGTATGGCAAGTTCTCTACCTATTCCACGTCCTGCACCTACAACCTGTAAAGAAAACAGAATTATATGTTTTGATAACAGTTTTATATTCTTATTTCTATAAAAAAAAAAAACAAAAAAAAAAAACAAAAATCTGCAAGAAACATAGTTGTAATATTACTATGGCAACTTCACAATTAAGATTTTTCAAAGGTGGTGGTCTGAATGTTCTGTAGATTGCATTCAAAATTGTACAGAATATGCCACTTAATAACATTGTAACATCAAGCATCAGAACACATAAGGAATATATTCTCAGTAACATCTTTGGTGAGTAAACTCCTATTTTTTCCTGCAAAAGAAGATTAGAAAACATTTTCTTTGCATTTGCGTAGAATAACATTAAAGGGAAGTAAAAAACAAATTACTCTTGTTGACAAAACAAACATGCAATTTTATTCTAATTATATAGACCATTGTACATACCATCATTTTTTTTCGAAATTATCAAATCTAGAAATTGCGAATATCGTAAATATCGTAATATATATAAACTCTTACAAACGAATTTTAACACCGCGTAACGATATATGTATATATATATACCTTTTATCACACAACGTCGTGAACTTTATTGATAACGTACTTTGTTGATATCGCACTATTAGGCAGGACACATCCATCCAATTCTTTGTATGAATTAAATCCTTTTAGTTTTTAATCACGCGCAGCGCACACGAGAGATATATATTTTTTATCACAATTAGTGAGATCGATATGATTGACTCTTAACATGTATATATACAATTGTTAGGAAATTTAGGAGACAGCACACGTCTTTCCGGATTTTTTTCAAAAGATTTTCAATTCAACTCAACTGGTGCAGCCATCTGTCAAAGTTTGTATCGCTTATTCTCGTGCAATTATCATGCGAATCGTAATCACGATATGTACATACATAAGTTATTTGACTTTCCTGAATTATACCAGTCATTCACAATCGCAATTCCTTATTAACGGTATAAAAAGTGTGACGCGACGTTGCCGATAAGACATTTTTTTTTTTTTTAATTTACTTTACGGCAGCTGTTCGTTTTATTATTCGATTAGATTCATTTCAACGCGCATCTACGATATCGAGAATTTGTGACTTTGCATATGCGACCCTGTACAATGTACAAACGTAGAATGTATACTTACACGCATGCGCGTCTTATTTATAGTTTAGGTTATGTCAGGTGATGGTGCGTACAGTTGACTTTCTTGCTACAAAAATAGTTTTGTGCAAAAATTCGTAAAAGATGTGGTACGAAATAATTCCACCGCTGATAATAGTAGGATTGGTACCAATTGTACCTCAATATATATCCTACTACCTCAATTCTTTTGTATTCGGAAACGTAAGTACGCAAAATTTGCGTAACATAACCCTTCCCAAATGAGATCACGATAATGCTTATGCTGAATAATTGCTGCCTTTCTTTTACTGTGATAATACGCGAAATTCTATTTGATCTTAGCAAATACTCAAGTTTATCATTGATTTTTATTTTTTTCCCGTATAGCCGATGCGTAGAAACATGTGCGACATTTGGGATCGTCATATGTATACAAGAGACTGGCGAACAGATGGAGCGCCATGGAAAAACAAGGTAATTAAAAAATTTTTCAACTTAATCTTTATGGAGTTTCTTTGTTTTTTTGTTTTTTTGTTTTTTTTCATGAATGAATTTGTAACGATAGATGAGTTTTTAATGTAAGTTTTAATTATTTTGTTTTTACAGGGACTAGCTAATGTTCCTGATGACTAAGATGTGTTTATAAAAATAATAAATTAATATATATATGAACATGTAGTTTATGATATATTAAAGAATAAGTTGTATTGTTCTGAAAAGTGTAATTTACATGTAATTGAAGTATACATATGATAGGCAAAATATACATCTATAAATTATATTCAGTATTAAATGTTTTATTTTTTAGCTATTCTTAACTTTTTAGAAAAACCTTAAGTTGAGATACTTGTAAAATCTTAATTATATAATAAAACTTGTTTTTCTCTTGAGAAACAATAAAATTTGGATGAATTTAAAATATAAACTTACGTGTGTATAAATTTATAAAACATTTTACACAAACATTTAAATTACACACAAGTTACGACTTGTACAAATTTAAGTAGGTTAATTTGTGTGAAAAAAAAAAAGTGTTATCTTGACAAACAACATGTGGAAGTAGTTGCTCGTGTGTTTGAATAATTCAAAAAAACTATGAGACGTAGTAATAAATTTTAACAGCAAAAGGAACTATCTCTTCGTCGTACACCGAGTTAATAAATTATAAAATTACATCCGTAGAAGGGATGTTAAGGCCAGAATAATCTTGCCTCTGAAAGGTTTCTTACGGGTAATAGAAGTCGACGACGTAACATTATCTTTATCCCGGTCTCGAGTGTATTTCCTTAGGTAAGCGTTTCGCGAGCATGGCATCGCATATGCGCACAGTATTGATAAGATAACGACGACGCAAGAGAAAGAGAGAGAGAGAGAGAGAGAGAACACCACGTGGGAAACTTTGCTCTTCGAAGTTATAAGTATATTTTCAGAAAATCAATAGTTGGCAATGCTGTGTGTATTTTGATGTAATGTAACTTCATTACGTTAGCCACATATCAACTTAACATACGCACAGTACGCGAGTTGTAGGTAAATAATGATATATGCCACTCCCACCATATATTTGGAACATGTCCTGAATCAAGTACTTGACGGGTTTCAGCAAAATGTTTGAGAGATGCTAACGCGTAATTAATATTGACTCACGTTGGCATATCACGTTTACACGATGCGTTCGTGTATCACGTTCATATTTATTTGTTACAAATACGCGTCGCATATCCTCCTCCTCCCCCCCCCCCAATACATTAACAGTCGACCAATTTAACATTTCCCATGAAGAAATTCCGTTTTACGCACAAAGCACACGCGATATGATAGATGTAAACTGTCACGTGATTTTTGCGATTTGTGAAACATTAAAACGTTAAATCCTCGTCGATTATAAATTAGATAAATTTGCCAAAGGACATGCCGTTGAAACGAATGACCCATCTCCGTGGCTTCCCGTTTTTTAACTCGGAAGTCTCAAAAGAGCTACATCTAGATCCCATTACCGGGATTCGTTGTGGTGTAAAATACACCGTGTGGTAGTTTTTACAAAATTGCAGTTGAGAAATGTCTCTCGCTTCAAAGCGGACGCTTTCACGCGGCACAAACACAAATGCCGTGAAAGAACTTTTCAACTTGCGATCCTTAAAAAATCGCCACGGAAAAACAAGTTTGTGCGTAGGGTTTTTGTGTGTATTTAAAAACAAAACAAAAAAAAAAACGGAGTGTATTGCGCGACAATCTTTTTATGTTGTAAGTGAGCGCGAAAATAAGCTTGACGGAAAAAAAAAATAGACGTTCTACAGAGTGCATACAGAGATACATGATAGCAACATGTCCCTTCCCGGTAGATACGTATTCACTATTTGAGCAACAAGTGTGCTGGTGGACGAGTTCAGGAAAATACCCTATTCTTCACGTGATAACCTTTGACACAAGGTCGTTGTGTGTCGACGGAGAATAATCATTCAGATATACTACGATATGTAGTACGATAAGTGACGCCACCGAATCTTAATCGCACATAAACAAAACTGCATGTTTAACACATAATAAACGTTAATCCTCATCAAACGTTGATTCCAAAAATGTTACGTTTAGAAAATCTAATATATAATTTACAAGCGACTTTTTTTTATTCTAAATTTCCTACACCGAAAAAATTGTATTCTTATTTTGAGGATATCCCACTTACTTTAAGTATATTTTATACTAAAATAGGCGCCAAGAAGAGTTTCTTATTTTAAGAGGAAAATCCTCTAAATAGTAATATTGATAAGA